TGTATCCTTGCAAAAGTAATTATCTCTGGCCAATGCAGTAAGGCAAGCAAAAGATATGCAGAATTCAAGGACTGGAAGGGAAGAGACAGAAAACTTAAAAACAAGCAATAGACTAATAAAACTAATGAAAGAGATCAGTGAGGTTAATATATAGAAGACCAACAATAACAACAACAAAAATATCAACAAAGTTCTTCTATCTTGTACTAACTAAAAATACAGTGGAAAATATGATGCCTTTCATTAAAGCAACAAAACTTGAAATATCAAACCAGAAAGTGGCCTAAGAAAATACAGAAAATACTTACAGAAAAATATTAAAATTCTAAGATACAAAGAAATGCCTCTAATTGTGATCACAGCTTTTAGAGAACAATTTAAAACATGGCAAGCACTGAAAAAATATTCATCAAATGGATGAATGAATCAGAACAAATGGAGAGAGATGCCATTCTCATCAATGGGAAAGTTAAGATGGCAGAGCCCTCAGTTGTTTTTTGTTTTTTTTTTTCAGTGCAGGTTGAATGTGGTGGGAAGCAGTAAGGAGAAGAAATGGGATTAGGAATATGGTATAAGGAAGAACAACAAAAAACAGTAAAAATAGTTGGCATGTAGGTACTGATGATGATAGGATGCTATAAAACCAATCAATTCAATAACAGGTGCCTGAGAGCCAGGAAGGGCCAACAGACATGCCATGAAATTTTCAATTAGTAGAAGTTAGCAAATGAAGAGAGGAAGCTGGAATCTAGAGGTGAAGGGCCTGATCATCATCACCGTCCAAGGAGAGCTCCATAAACATATTGGTGTGTCAACCTGAGCAAGACAAAAGGAGATAAGCAAAAGGGGAAAGTCTTGTTCTTAGGTCCATAAACTTAAGGCAAAAACACAGCATAAAGAGAAGTGCCTTAACAACATCACGCATGAAAAAGATTTAATAGTTAATTTTAAACTCAGTGTGAGTTAGCAAGATGATATAACTGAGTTTTCCTCTCCCCGAAATAAAGAAAAGCAATTTATTTCTCATCTGTATTAATAAAGTAACAAAGTGTAATCGTACAAACTGACAACTCTCAACTCCGTAAGCCCAGCCTTCTGACATCAGTATTTATCTCTTACAGCATCCTAGATTTTAGATTTAGCAGGTATCTTAGCTTTTTCTTCTAACCTTGCTGTTCTCTTGGTATTTTCTGCCTGGGAGGGACTATCTTGGTGAGAATACTACTCCCAGTGAAGTCACTTATGCTCTGTCAACTCTTCCTTATGAGTCCTTCTCTGACCCTCACCAACTGTTGGTTTTCCAAGTTCTGTTCACTTCAGCTGCTGTTCATCTCTCTGTCAATTGCTCCTGTTTTAATTTAGGGCTAATGATCTCTACTCGACTGTCAAATAGTTTCCCAATTTGTCCCCAGATTTGCGTGGCTATCTACACCATTTCTAGAGTATGCATTCAAAACACAAATGTGATCATGTTATTTCCCAGCTCTAAACGCTTCAGGAGACTTTCATTCAGTCTTCCCATTGTCTGTGCCCTATCTGTATGAATGGTTGGAGTATACTTATTCAACATAAATCTATAGAAGTAAGTATATAATGTAAATAAATATTTATTTGCACATCATAACACATACAAAAGCCAGAAATCCAAAAAGGATGAGATACAATAAAAATTTAAATCATTCATAATATGTTAATAGAACAGATAAAAATAGCCAACCTATTTCTGCAGCATGCTTAAATGTGCTTTATTATTTTTTAAAAACTTGGCTTCACATATTTTTGGTATAGTGATGCAAAGTTCACGGATGCCTGAGTGACTCAGTATGTTGAGTGTCTTACTTTGGCTCAGGTCATGATGTTGTGGTTTGTAGGTTTGAGCCCTGAATTGCGCTCTGTGCTAACGCCTCAGAGCCTGGAGCCTGCTTCAGATTCTTGTCTCCCTCTCCGCCCCTCCCTGGCTTACACTCTTTCTCTGCCTCACTCTGAAAAATAAATAAACATTAAAAAAAAAAAAAACCCAAATAGAAGTGCATCATTGTCTATAACTAAAATAAAATTTTTATTTTTCAATCCTATCAATTATTCACATCTTTATTCCCTGAAATTAAGGTAATGCATTTTGATTTTTCATAATTTCAATCAGTTGTTCTTGTGAACTAACTAAAAGGTGTTCTATCTCAATATGTTTTAATAAAAAAGGTCCCACTGAACCCTTTTATTTACAAAATCTTTTCCATGCTTTTAAATGTGCAGACATGAGAACAACACTTTCACATTGCTTTTGGTAATGAAATCACATAATAATGAAAATATTGCCATTTTAAGTGTGCTCAGTCCATACATGTCTCTTTTGAAATACAGTTGCTTTTTCATTCATTGCTAAGCCTCCTACCTGTATTCTGAAAGGACAAATTGTTTGTTTAGTTATTAAAGACTCATTTTTTTTAGAGCAGTCTTAGGTTTACAAGAAAATTGAGATGAATGTACAGATATTCCCCATATGCCTACTGCCCCCACACATGCTTCCTCCGTTATCGATATCATTCACCAGAATGGTACACTTTTTACCAAGATGAGCCTGTACTCACACATTATAATCACCCAAAGTCCATAGTTTACCTTAGAGTTTGCTCTTGATGTTGTACAATCTATGGTTTTGGACAAATGTATGTTAACATATATCCATCATTATACTATCATACAGAGTGTTTTCATTGTCCTAGAAATCTGCCTATTCATCTCCTCCCATAACCCACTACTGATATTTTTACTGTCTCCATAGTTTTGCATTTTCCAGAATGTCATATAGTTGGAATTGTATAGTATGTACCCTTTTCAGATTGGCGTATTTCACTTACCAATATGTATTTAAGTTTCCTCCATGTCTTTTCATGACTTGATAGCTCATTTCTTTTTAGTGCTGAATTATATTTTATTGTCTGGATGTACCACAGTTTATTTGTCTATCACCTACTGAGGGACATCTCAGCTGCTTCCAAGCTTTGGCAATTATGAACAAAGCTGATTTAAATGTCCTAGGGAAAATTTTTGTGCAGACATTCGTTTTCAAGTCTTCTGGTAAATACAAAGGAGGGTGATTACTGGATCATAAGGTGAGAGTATGTTTTGCTTAGTTTTGTAAGAAACCACCAAACTATCTTCCAAAGTGCCTATACCATTTTGTATTCTCATCAGTATTCAACAAGAATCCTTGCTACACTGTATTCTCACCAGCATTTGGTGTTGTCAGTGTTCTGGATTTTGGCCACTCTGATATATTTTGGCCACTCTATACAATGATACCTCCTTATTGTTCTTTTTTTTTTTTTTTTTTACCTCCTTATTGTTCTAATTTGCATTACTCTGATGAAATATGATGGGGAGAATTTTTTCATATGCTTATTCGCTCTCTGTATATCTTCTTTTTGGTGAGGTGTATTTTCAGATTTTTTATCCATTTTTCAGTCAAGCTATTTGTTTTCTTGTTGAGTTTTCAGAGTTCTTTGTATATTTTGGATAATTAATAGTACTTCATCAGATGATGTCTTTGGCAAATATCTTCTTCCAGTCTCTGGTTTGTCTTTTAATTCTCTTGATATTGTGTTTGCAACACAGAAGTTTTCAATTTTAATAAGATTCAGCTTATCAATTATTTCTTTCATGGATCATGTCTTTGGTGTTATATCTAAAAAGGCATCACCACGCCCCAGGTCATCTAGGTTTTCTCTTATGTTATCTTCTAGAGTTTTGTAGTTTTGAATTGTACACTTAAGTCTGTGATCCATTTTAAGTTAATTTTTGTGAGGAGTGTGAGGTCTGTGTCTAGATGAATTGTTTGGCATGTAGATGTCCAGCTGTTACAGCACCATTTGTTGAAAAGCCTGTCTTTATTATGCTGCCTTTGCTCCTTTCAAAGTCAAAGAGCAGTGACTACATAGGGGTCTGTTTCTGGGTTCTTTATCCTGTCCATTTATCTCTTTGTTTATTCTTTTGCCAATACCACATTGTTTTTATTACTGTAAGTCTTAAAATTGTAAGTCTTCATTTTTCACCTTCAGTATTGTGTTGGCTATTTGGGGTCTTTTGCATCTCAAAAAATACCGTAGAATCAGTTTGTTGATATCCATAAAATAACTTGCTAACATTTTGATTGGTATTTATTTAAAAAAACAACCCATCTTTTATAGTATAATGATGGCAAGTTATCTCGTCATAGAAAAGGTGAGTAAATTTGGGGACTTTGTCTACTTGTAAAAGAAGAATATGCAACTTATCTTTATATATGAAAGGTCTTTTTCAGTTATTTGCTATGAGATAATCACAAATGTCTGCGTAATACCTCAGATTTTCATGATAATTGTTCACGTCACTAAAAGGTGATAGTAAAATATTATAAAGACACAGACTACATTTTAAACAATTTGTTTTCATAAAATTAATGCCATCAACAAAACGTTCATCCCATTTTTGTATCTAAATTTATATATAATAATGTAGTTAATGAATTTTACTATGGTGCTAACTTTGTCACTTTACCCTAGGGCCTTTTTTCTCTCTATCTTTAGTTAACTTGCTTTTTTTTTTTTTTTTAAGTTTATTTGTTTTTTTTGAGAGAGAGAATGTGATCAAGGGAGGGGCAGAGAGAGGGAGAGAGAATGCCAAGAAGGCTCCACACTTGTCAGTGCAGAGCCTGATGCAAGGCTCGAACTCATGAAGCAGGATCACGACCTCAGTGGAAATCAAGAGCTAAATGCTTAACCAACTGAGCCCCCTGGGTGTCCCTCTTTAGTCAACTTCCTATTTATACCCACTATCTTCCTGACAGAGTGCACTAATAAGAATATATACCCTTATTATATTTCACTTGATTGGCTCACAAAAAAGTTGTTGATATATTTCATTACTGACACAGTCAAATATCAAGAACAGAAACATGTGAAAAACATCTATAGTTTTATGCAAGTGTTTAGCAAATGTTCTAATACTTGTTTCTGTAAGTATTTAGCTTTCTTTTCCATTTATTTATTGGGTGCATTTTCATAAGTCACTGTCTTAGGTTAGGTTCCCAAAGAAGCAGGTCTGGAAGCAAGGATTTGAGTATGAGTCATTTCTTTGGGAGAAGGAGATCCCAGGAAGCATGGATAAGGGATGGCAGAAGTGAGAAAAGGAAGAGAATGATCCAGTAAAGGAGATGTCATCAAGGAGCTACCTGCTATGGGCAGCTGGCGCTCACTTGCTGGAGAGCTCAGGAGCTAGTGCAGAACTTTTCCGAGTTGTTCCACTTGAGGCACAGTAAATATTCTCCAACTCTTGTGTGTCATCCACTAGACAAGAGTCCCTGAGCACTTCTGGCCTACCTATTTGCAGATCTAGAGAGCTCTCAGATGGAGGGCTACAGTGTAATAAGATGTGGTCTCCAAGGATCAGGGATGAGGTATGCAGAAGGTATGTGAGCAGGGTCACTGCATCATCTGCCAAGGTCATCAGAAGGCCTTCAGAATGCTTTGAACCATGCTTCCTAAGGAAGAAAGAACAAGAATTTTAAACCAGAGTTATTACTATTAAGTAAAAATCCTGCAAAAGAAGCTGTTAATCTTTACCAAACTTAGAAAAAATTTGTAAGGACTTCATATTCTAGACGTAAATCCGTACCCTAAATAGTCTTTTTTATGTATGTATGTACATATATCCATATATGTTACATATATATGTCAATGATTTAACAGATCTGAATGTATTGTTAGTATTCTCACATGAAAAAATGATTATATAAGCAATAGAAGGATCAGCTCTGCCTTTTTCTTAGCCCTTATTTTGGTTACATCGTTAGTGTTATCTTCAGTTTGGGGTTTCTTTGAAGAGCTCTTTCTTAAGTCACTTGGCTATTTTATGAGGGTTATTTACTTTAAAGTAGATAACATAACCATCCATCTACTTAACTAGGCACCATAAATCACAACATTTTAATAAAAGTAGAATGAATTACCGGGTGATGGCCAACTGTCCAGCCCTTCATGTTGCGGAATTCCTATTTTTCCTTCAGAATGCTTTGCTTACTGTATATGACATGTGACACTTTGATATTCAAACCTATTGAGGGTTCCATTCAAATGAAATATTAGTAAAGCTTAACATTTTCCTAATTCTTGGGGTAAGAATAGAATAGAATAGAAAAGTAAAATAGAAGTTCTTCTGTTTTACCCTAACGGATCATTTTGTGTATCCCCTGTGGTATGTACACCTGAGTTTGAAGACCAATGGACTACAGGGCAAAGTTCAGATGCATTGGCCTGGCGTACGCAGTCCTCCACCATTTGGCCCTTGCCAACTTCTCTAACCTGAGCTCTTGCCTTGTCTTGCTTCATCCCCTGCATTTCAGTTATAATGAACTTTTGGAGTTCATGAATTTATCATGTCGAATTATAATGTCAAGCTTTTGCTTATACTATTGCTTTTTCCCAGAATGCTCTTTCTCTTTGGACTACCTGGTAAAACCTGCTCTCCAAAACTTTTGCTGGCCCTTTCCCACTCCTCAGGGAGCACTCTAAACATACTCTTTGGAACACTACTGTATTCTCAACCTTATCTTTCAGCCCTTTTGTTGAACCTGTTTACTAACATTCTTAGCTCCTCCTAGAGATTATCATCTTCCTGAAATCAAAGCTGTTGTCTAATTTATCTTCATATCTCCAGCATATAGCTTCAAACAGGCATGTAATCATGCTTGTTAACTTAACCATGAGGTCATAGTCCTATTGTACAGTGTACTGGTCAGCCAGCACAGAGGATTGTGTTTAGCTCTGGGTGCCTCTTGAAGAAGGACTTGAATAACTGATGTGTACTCAGAGGGAAAGAATTCCAAACAATGTTATGAGAGCAACTGTAACCTGGGACCAATGTATAGAATAACAGGGAACAGGGATTTGGTTTTAATATAAGGAAGAATTATCTAACAATTATAGCTGCTTGAACACAGGATGAATCACTTTGGGGTATGGTGAGAGTTGTTGTTGTTATTTGTTTTTTGTTTTTTTTGCCAGGGGAGATGTTGAAATAAAGCCTGAATAGATAACCTTCTTGAGCAGATTAAATAAGTGCTTAAAGCATCTAGAGTGATCATGGTGAGTGGAGGAGAATTTAGATAATCTTTCGATTGTAAACAATCAAGCTGAGATTTGAAATCATTTGATATGTCTAGTGATGGGTCTAAACTTTAATAGACGCTGTTTCAAAAAAAAAAAAGCAGTGATATTATTTTAAGTAAACAATTCTTCTGTAATTCAGAGTCTCTGGATCTAGGTGAGACATAACCATAATGCTACTTTGCCTTCTTATGAGCCAGGCTAAGCAAATCTTTGAGCATGTTATTTTTCTTTGTGACTATACCCACAGACATTTAATTTACATCCTCTTTTCAGCTAAGAAGTAGGGTACTTTCACTCTACCTAACTATGAATTTAAAATTTATAGTCTGAGAGTTCAAAACAAAGTGATAGTGTCTCTTGAGTTTTAGAGAAGCACCAGTTATCTTAATCTTCTATATATTTAGGGCCACCCAAGACACACTATAGATAGTACACAACAATCCAATTATAACACCTTTTAAGGGCATGAGTCTTATAGAAACTGAGGCTTAGTGACATTAAGGCACTCGGCTAAGTGCTGTACAACAAACTGGTTTCAGAACATGGACCACAGTCCATCACATCTAATTTCACTTCCATGGGTTTCTCCAGTTAATCGACCCTGAAGAACTTTTGTAATCTAATAAAGGGGTGAGACATAACCATAAAACAATTAGAGAAATAACAAAAGTAAAATCAAGTGTATTAGGTGTGTTACAGCTAAAAAGTGCTTTGGAAGGTCAACAAGGTGAGAAATCACAGGCTACAGGATATGGAAATTTTTATTAAGAGCAACTTTGAAAATAGCTCTGAAAGATAATTAGGCTTACAAAATTTTTCTTTGGTTCCTGAAGTGCATGTTGGCTCTGTCCACGTTGCTTTCCTTCTCTTTTATTTCTTTTTAGTTTTACTATTCTCTATCACACTGGCCAATAGGGCACAAGCATCTAATTGCAGCAAATTCTTATACATTCCAAGTGACCCCCACAAAAACAGGTTACCATGGTAACCAAACAAAAAGGGACTAGAAAACAGAAGCAAAGTATTTACTTAATGTCTGATGGGCTCTCTGCACGATTTTCATTAGACCTGTTGCTGGCTTTCTTTTAGGTTTGGTTGCTAGTCACTGTTTATTTTTTGAGCTGTTAAAAGATTGAAAAATTTGTCAGGCCCTTTCATATAGAAAATTGTAGCAAGCAGTGAAGCCACAGCAATTGATTTTTTAAATACACAACTCTTATTTAGAAATGTTGATTTATTACATAGAGTTAATCCAGAAGCTTCCAACTCTGCCCAATGGGCTTCAAGAGAACAGAAGGGCCATTTGATGATAGTAAAGAATCATTTAAGAATGCTACAGAAAAAGAGAGGTAATAGTAGATTTGAAATAATTTTGTTAAAGGTCCTGCTATTTATTTTTGCCACTTCAATATAAAGGTGTACACAAACCAGTTAGCATAGATACTTCATTGCTAATTATTTTATGTACAAAGTCCTTAATTAATAGACTACATAATTAATACAATTTACTGTGTTCTAGCTAGTTTTCGTCTTTTGGTGAAGGAAGATTTTGACGATGAAACACAAAGTCATTTAGGCTCATAAAAGATGTCCAACATTTTTTGATTTGGGGAATAGAACCCACTCCCTTCATTCCTACTATTGTCTTGGTATCTCTTTGAAGTGCAAAAAACATTAGAACTTTAAAGGCAGCCCGGGAAAATGCCATCTGTAGCTTATGGCAAACTCTGCAGGTGTAGACAAATAACACAGCATGCATGTCACTAGGTGGTGGGTTTGCTTGAGATCTTAGCACAACTGCTCCTCTTTTAAAAAAAGAGAATTAAAATCTGCATACCATAAATAGCTTCATCTGATGCTTGCTTTTAAAAATCACACTCATCTAGGGGCGCCTGGTTGGCTCAGTCAGTTAAGTGTCCGACTTCGGCTCAAGTCATGATCTCACAGTTCATGAGTTCAAGACCCACCTCAGGCTCTGTGCTGACAGTTCAGAGCCTGGAGTCTGCTTCAGATTCTGTGTCCCTGCCCTGTCTCTCTGCCCCTCCCCTGCTTGCACTCTGTTTCTGTCCCTCTTTCAAAAATAAATAAACATTTAAAAAATTAAGAAAAAAATCACACTCATATATATGTTGCCAAAAAAGAATTCTATAATATCAATGATATTTGTAGGAGTAGAAAACAAAGTTGAATGCTTGTTTGGAAGCTTAGTTAGGCAGGAGGTAAAAAAGTTATTCCATAAAGGCATAGACCTTCTTTTTTAAAAATTTTTTTTTATTTTAAATGTTTTATTTATTTTTAAGAGAGAGATACAGACAGCGTGAGCAGGGGAGGGTCAGAGAGAGAGGGAGACACAGAATCCGGAGACAGGCTCCTGGCTCTGAGCTGGCTGTCAGCACAGAGCTCAATGCGGGGCTCAAACCCATGAACTGTGAGATCATGACCTGAGCTGAAGTTGGACACTTAACCGACTGAGCCACTCAGGCGCCCCAAGGCATAGACCTTCTATGGAATATTGCTACTCTGTGATACAGATCCATCCACTTGCATATATGGAATTAGCTGTGTTGTATTAAAATGCCTTTTACATCTATATTCTCTTAATCTAACAGTTGAGCATGGGATTCTTAGAGTAAGATTTTTCTTTAACGAAGGGATTTGTCTCTTAGTAATAGAGTGAGTACAATGCCAAGCTAATTCTACTCTAGGATCACAAGGAAAAAAAGGTAAAATATAATTTTTTTCACATATAAAGAACACTTGTTTGTAACAGCAATAACAAAATACATAGGAGAATGTTTATTATGTATGTCCATATTAATGCCTCAAATGTGATCTGTTCTATTTTCATGCTTTAGGATGTCATTCTACTGATTCTGCTTTATTTTTTAAGCTTATCTATTTATTTTGAGAGAGAGAGAGAGAGGGAGAGAGAGCGAGTGCGTGCACGAATCTCAAGCAGTCTCCACATTGTCAGTGCAGAACCTGACTTGGGGCTTGAACTCACAAACCGTGAGATCATGACCTAAACAGAAATCAAGAGTAAGCCACTCAACTGACTGAGCCACCCAAGCATCTTTGATTCTGCTTTCTGAATTGGACTATTTGTGTAGAAGCTGTTAATGTGGCTTTCACCATTATCATTACTACCATCGTAACCATGGAGGTAGATTAGAGTCAATGTGATGGCTAATTTCTATTTGAAATGTTTCTGTGTTGCAACCTCCAATTTAGTCATTCTTTGGAAAGGAGGTGGGTAGGTTGGAGTGAATTTTTGGAGTTAGGATCAATAGGAACAGTAGTCATGAAGTTCCAGCTTAAAGGTTAGTTGAGGCAGATTTTCCCCTGAGGGCAGAGTTGGTAGACATATTCCCATCCCAAAGTTCCTGCATATGATACCCAGTACCTGCACAGAAAGGCCAGACTTTAAGGGACTTGAAGTCAACATCAGAGGAATCCTGTCATGAGTTCTTTACTGAAGTTAGGGACTGCCGGCTCCAGCAGGTCCAGGGGTTCCGGAATGATGGACGGTGTCGGTGAGAGAGAGAGAATGAGAGAGCCCCGAGATTCTTTCTGATCACCAGGCAGGCATCTCTGCTCTGTCAGTTTTGGTGTCTTTATTTAAAGGTTAGCAACATGAAGTCAGATAAAGGAATTTCTACAATGGGAGGCCTTTTGTGATATCAATTGCAGAATTATCCCAGTCATAGTGAATTTATGACCAAGGAAGTAACAGGATGTTCTTAGTGAAAAACAGGATAACATATAGGTTAAATTGTATATAGATAAGCTAGGAGTCATTCTGTCTGGCTCTCAAGAGGATGAATGTTTCTGAATTGGTTTGTTAGTGGAAACTATCATGGGGGCCCTAAATGTGTCAGTCTTAGCACCTAGGTTTATGTTTTAGCTACTCTTATCTATCCTCATCCCAGCTGCCAGTGTAAGGGAGGGTGTTTGTGGAATGTAGGCCTTGAGGAAGGGACTGCTATGCTTCACCATTAGCAAAGATATATGTAGTAACTGTGTTCTGCCCTTATCTGTACCTTAACTTTAAATTAGGCTCTTTGTCTCAGGGCCAGGCTCAATTGTAACTCTTGTGTTCTTAACCCCCTTTATTATCTAAGTCTTGGATCTGCAAGGCCCATAGGAAGAGCCTTTTGACAATCATCCATAGAGCTTTCATCTAAAATCTCTTTTGTAAAGGCAGGAATATGCTTTTCCTTATGAGCTATCTGTGTTCAGAATATGGGTTTGATATGGAATATTGTGAGGCCTGGTCAATACCAGCAGCTTCATTTCCAACATGAGCCAGTAGTAGCAGAAGGAGATACCAGTTTTCATTTCTCATGGTAGGAGCTGTGCAAACGCTACCATATCCTTGCTGTGACTGTCATCCAGCGAGGCCAGTGCAGCTCCCGGCAAGGGAGATTGGGAGAGTAACTTTGTCCTTTGTGTATCTCCAGTGAAAAATGTAGGCTGGAGGCCAGAAAAGATTTCTAAAGTCTTTCTGATCTGTCCCCCACACCATTAAAT